GTCAACTTCTAACAGCATTATTTACAGCAGCCAAGAAGATTTCAAAGAGCTTGAGAGGGAGGAAACACCAGACAAAGAAGAAAGTATGGAATCCAGCTTTCACCTTAGTGCCATTGAACCTTGTGTGATTTGCCAAGGTCGACCTAAAAATGGTTGCATTGTCCATGGCAAACCTGGACATCTCATAGCATGCTTTACATGTGCAAAGACTCTAAACAAAAGGAATAAGCCAGGCGTCCTCAAACTACGGCCCGCGGGCCACATGCAGCTCGCCTAGGACATTTATCCGGCCTGCCGAGTGTTTTTGCCGCCACTGCCTGTCCTGCTTAGCAGCCGACTTGTCCCGGGGCCTGCAGTCCAGCCCTCCAATGGTCTGAGGGACAGTGAACTAGCCCCCTGTTTAAAAAGTTTGAGGACCCCTGGAATAAGCCCTGCCCAGTATGTAGACAGCCAATTCAGATAATTGTACTAACTTACTTCCCCTAGCCGACCTGCCCATAAAAGTAGCATATATATTTCTAACTATATAACCCTAAAAATTTAGACAACATGGAACTTATTTTTATTTACGTATATCAAAGTGAGTTAATCCAGATAGGTTTTTTCTTTAGTGTACTTTACCTACTTTAGGCCACAGGTGCCAAGCCAAGTATCTGATTTTTAAAAAATACATATATATATATGAGTAGTGTTGTAACCAAGCCCTCTTTCCCCTGCTCACTCCTGTTCCCCAGCCCTCACCTGTCTCCCCCCTCCAGCCTATTTCCCTCCTCCTCCCTTCTCCCCCTGCCCAGAGTCAACTCAGGAACAAGTCCCTCCTCCCCCCATGGTGGCTGAGAACAGTGCTTCCCAGCCACGTTCCCAGGCCCCCTTCTTCCTCCTAGGGTTGCCAAGAACAAGCTTCAGGTACAAGGAAGAAAAGTCCCAAGGTTCACAAAACCCCCAAGTTCTCAGTAGATGAACAATGGTGGAAAACTCACTGAGACTTGATTAATTACTGTTGTATAACCATAACCATTGTGATATGAGATGTATCCATTGTCAGCCGAAGCCGTATTATTGTTCCATTACTGTATCCATGACTACCCAAGTTGTAACCCCCCCCGTTAACCAGCCACGTTTCACTTCTGTAATATGCTTGCACAAAGCCTATAAAAGGCAACTCACCCTCACACCTCGGCTGCTGTCTCTCGGAGCAGCAGCCTCTGCAACAGGTAAAATAAATTACCAATTAATTAACTTAAGTGGGGGTCTGAGCCTATTTTTCCAGGTCCCCTAAGTTATTTCATTAGGACACCTAAATGTAATTTATTTAGTACCTTTCTTGTATGGAGAAAATGTGCAGTAGATTTTGATTAAATTTTTGAAACTTAAAAAATGAAAGAAAAATCAAAAGCCTTTCTCGGCTCAGCACCTGTGGCTCAAGCGGTTAAGGCACCAGCCACATACACCTGAGTTGGCGGGTTCAAATCCACCCCGGGCTCACCAAACAACAGTGATGGATGCAACCAAAAATAGCTGGGCGTTGTGACAGGTGCCTATAGTCCCAGCTACTTGGGAGGCGGAGACAGGAGACTTGCTGGAGCCTAGGAGTTGGAGGTTGCTGTGAGCTGTGATGACAGGGCACTCTACCCAGGATAGCTTTTCTTTTGAGGCTCTGTCTCAAAAAAAAAAAAAAAAAGCCTTTCTCATAGAGTTCTCCAGTCTCCAGCAAGAGTGAGGAGGAATCAGCCTAGCTCACAGCAACCTCACACTCCTGGGCCCAAGCTCATAGAATTGTTAGGAGGATGAAATGAAGAGTCTTTGTGACTGTGTTTTGGTGATACAATTTAAGCAGCAGCTGCTGCTATGAGAACATACTGCGAAGGGGTTATTTTGGAAAGGTGGAACCAAACCTTGGAAAGCTGATTGGATTTGGGCAGGTGGAGATGGAAAAGAGAGTAAGTATGTTGCAGGATAGGAAACAAAGCAAGTGAAGAGGCAGACAGGAGAAATGCAGGGCATGTTTTAGAAGCTTTGAGCATAACTTCTAGCCTGAGCAAGAGGGTGTGAGGAATGGTGTGAATAGTAAATAAAATGTTCTAAAATACATATGAAGACTCTTTTTTTATTTTTTTTTTGAGACGGAGCCTCAAGCTATCCCCCTGGGTAGAGTGCCATG